AAACCCCTGTGTGAGGCTCTCATGCGACCGACATGGAATGGTTTCCTGTCCTGGTTGGATGCAACTCGCGTGAACGACATGGTTCACCTGGATGAGACACTGAGGACCGTTGACGACCTTGGGAAAGAAGTTTCACAACCCGCTTTGAAGGAGGTCCTCGAGAACAGCTCATGTACACGCATCATGGAACTGTTTGAAGTCTACAGCGAGTTCCTCAGAGGTGGAAACGGTAACCTCTCAGCCTTCTGGATGTCCTATTTGGACCTGGTTGAAATCTTGTTGGGGCTCATCCGAGCATCCAGAGAGGGAGACTGGATGCTACACTTGGCAAGCATTCGATCAATGATCCCATGATGCTTCGCTTATGATAGGATTAATTATGCACGCTACCTCCCCTACTACTATGCCCAGATGTCTCAGCTGCCCATCACACACCCAGATGTGTACACGGAATTCATGGAAGGAGGCTTCTCAGTTCAACTGGGCTCCACCAATCCCTTTGGCCGAATCCCTGTTGTCCAAGCTATAGAAGAAACGGTGAACAAAGACACCCAGACAGCTGGAGGGACAAAGGGATTCACAGTTTGAAACCAAGAGCCGTGACCAAATATTACCTAACAGCTGAGTACAGAAGCATGTACCTCTGACAGTTGAGAGACCTGATAGGTCAAGGCAGGTCCAAACTGTCCCATCCAGATCTACAGGGTCCAAGGATCAAGAGCGATGAAGCAGATGTCCAGTCTCTCATTGACCTTATAGAGAATAACTGGATCAATCCTATGTCCCCTGATCAGACAGATCTGCTTAGCCTCTCCACTGGCATCATGGCTCCACCTGATGTGACCAGGGATCTCTTGAGAGCTCTTGAGATAGGAGAAAGAGGCCTACCAGGTATTCAAGCAAACAAGGTTAGCTGAGGACACACCATCTCTGAAATTCCACGACAAGATGACCAAGCAAAGTCTGAAGACATTCTCCAATATCAGCACAAAAACAGCACATGGAAAGAAAGCACAGAATGTGGTTCTGAAGGAAGATAGGAACCTGTTCAGCCACATAATCCTGGTATCTGAAAGCAGGAAAGTGAATATGAAGGATGTCCTTGCCCACCCACTGGGACCACTGCCATGGGCACTGGCAAATGCTGATGGGTCCCTACGAAAAAAACAAACATGGCTGCACTTGTCAGAGAGCTTGAAAAGAATGTGTCTCCTGCAGAAGACATCCAAACCCTATCTACTTCAATCATTGATGGGATGAGCCTGGTCCAAAAAATGAATGGCAACAACAAAACCTTTGCACAGGTGGCAGAGTCAGCCTTAACCCAGGTCCTCCACGAAGGGGCACAGTGAGAGGATTCATGTTGTTTTTGATGTCTAGCATCAAATATGCTGAACGACTGAACCGGGGTGTAGACACCACTCTCCAGTACAAGATCCTTGCAGGGGGACACCATGTCCAGCAGTGGAGAAAATTAATGTGCAGTCCCTCAAACAAGACCATTCTAATCAAGTTCCTGGTGGAAGAGTGGAAACTCCCACGATACAGAGAGATGCTGCATGGCGAGGTGTTGTACATGACCTGTGAGGAAACCTGCTACAAGTTGACAGAAGATGAGTGTGAGGAAGTAGCAGAGCTGCACTCCACGCATGAAGCAGCTGACACCCGTCTGCTCCTGCATGCATTGCATGCAGCAAATGTGGGCTCAAATGCAGTTATCATCACAGCTGAGGACACTGATGTCATGGTGCTTTGTCTTGGCTTCCAGAAGGACATCACCTGTCCCATCTACCAGAAGTGTGGGACACAGAATCACGCAAGGTTTTTCGATATCGGCAAACTGGCAAGGTCGCTTGAAGACAGCATCTGTGATAACCTAATTGGCTTACACGCCTTCACAGGCTGCGACACTGTCAGTGCATTCGCTGCTCGAGGGAAGCTGAATGCCCTGAAGATGGTGAGAGAGGACACTTCCTGCCAAGAGACATTTAGTCGACTGGGGCAGTCATGGAATGTGAGTGATGAGCTGATCCAGACAATTGAGCAGTTCACCTGCCTCATGTACGTTGCTAACAGCAGCACTGGCGAGGTGAACCAACTGCGCTACCAGCTCTTCTGCACCAAAAGGGGAGAAGTCGAGTCCAGCCAGCTGCCATCATGTAGAGACTGCCTCTTCATGCATGTTCAACGAGCCAACTATCAGGCAGCAATCTGGAAGTGCTGTCTGCAGGCTAATCCTGTGGTGCCAAGCCCTTATTGAGAATGGATGGGCAGACGATGATGGCAAGCTGGCCATTTACTGGCTGCGCTACCCCATCCGCACCAGATGTGGTCTTGGAACTGCTCGCATGCAAGTGTGCGCGTTCATGCACAATGCCAAGCTGCACGTGCCTGTCAAATGGACTGACATGCACAGACACGTGCAGGCTACAGACCTGCAGTAAGCAAAAACTGCAGGATGATCCAGAACCTGACTTTGAACTCGGGGAGTCAGATGACGAGATAGACGAGCAGTTTGATGAGTGACACAGAGTGGTGATTCTGATGGTATTACTGTGGTAGTAGTAGTTGCATACATTGATGCACAGTGTGGTGATTCTGGACTTGGTTACCCTTGTTAACACCATCCAAGTACACACAGAGCTTGATAACAATGTAACCTTCTTCACATATACCCATCACTAACGATATATATGGGATTACATGTATCATTGACTAAGTATATGCAAATGTCAATGTTTATAATATTCAAGTAGTTCCTTGCCTCACTACGGTATTCCTTATTATCCGGTGTTTTAATTGTGTATTTAAACCAATAAAGACCATACTCTTAGGTTGTTTCGGTAAAGTCACGTAGATAAAAAAAATAAAAAATAAATGAATGAAAATAACTCAATTAAATCACGACGTTTCGGAGGCAACACAAGTCTCCGTCTTCAGGTGGGACCATCACAGCCAAATTTACTCACTTGATACAGTACATTTGGCTGTGACGGTCCCACCTGAAGTCGTGATTTAATTGAATTATTTTAATTTATAATTATTTGATTTTATTATTATTTTTTTCCTACGTGACTTTACCGAAAAAACCTATGAGTATGAATCATTGCAGTCACGAAAGCTTCAAATCTAGAATCAATAAAGACCAGTTTGTGACCTAACTGGCTTTGGTCTAGGTAGTTTTTCAGTAATAATGCCCATTTCATCGTTCTGGACGCCTGTCATAGGGTCTGGATATAAAAGTCACGGTAACTACAACTAAGCTGCCACTCCACAAAGGTTATCATGTCAGAATGTGCCCCACACACACGTGGAGGATGACAAAGCTCATGACTAGACGTTGCCACCTCAGCTGGTACCAACAAGTTATTGTTCTGGTCTGGGCCCCATGGACTCGGAGCCATCGTTGGGCGCTGCGCATCGCTGCCGCTCATCCCCAGGTGGGGGTGGCGATCGCGATGGAGACCCCCCCCGCCCCCCCGCTGCCCAACCCACTTCCCCGCGCGTGCCGTGCCCGCCTTGATAGGCGTCATGGTTGTTTTCTGGTTACGTGCATTTCTCCACCCGCCCCCCCTCGTTATTTACGTATTCATATATTTGGTTTGTTTCATAAGTGGGGGTTTTGATTCTTGGTGTCGTCTGTGTAAGGGGCCGGCTCATTGATGTTGCGGCGTTGTGGGATGTTATTGCATGAATGACGCTCTATAAAATGGCATTATTACTCGCCACAGCACTTGCCCCAAGAATCTGTTAAGGCTGTACTGGGGGGGGGGGGATCTTTGACACAATCGATGTAGAGAGGGAGAGCGCGCGCGTGATCGTGTCGTTCGGCGCTCACGACAACCACACGGGATGCGTTGTCGCAACGATTGCGACGCGTGCCCGCACGTCGCCGCGATCGCTGGCCTCGCGATCCTGCATCGTGGCCGTGCCCCCCCCCCCCCCGCACTGTGCAGGCAGCGAGGGGTTAGTGGATTGCGAGGTCGCCATCTCCTGGCTCGCCAGCGTACCCGACGGCAGTACGGAAAGTTGGTCAATTTCCATCCGTATTCCATCTGTACGAAGACTGAGTGTCACTACCCCTCGTATGCGTGGGGTATCTCTGGGCACTTGGGTTACTTCCGACGTGGATATAATCGCTCATTCGTGGAGTTGTGCAAACATCCAAATATAGGGCCACAGAGTGGAATTGTTGGTAGCGCCAGTCCTGGCTGCCCTTCCACTCGTGTTTGGTGGCCCACGCCTCTGAATGGAACAAATGTGCGTGTGCTTTTATACATCTTTGAGAAGACTGGTGAACACGGTAACGTGTACCGTCATGGTGCATGGCGAGAGCTGGAGTTTAGGAATACCCGATAGCGTGTTGCGGGACGCAGCGCCAACGAAAGACTGCATGGGAGATGGCAGAGTTCGGACTCACGCCCTGGGAACGGGCCGTTGACTCTGAGCGACACAACAACCAAACTCCCACCTCAACCTGACTCCCACCCCAACCACACTCCCACGCCAACCACACTCCCACCCCAACCACACTCCCACCCCAACCACACTCCCACCCCAACCACACTCCCACCCCAACCACACTCCCGCCCCAACCACACTCCCACCCCAACCACACTCCCACCCCAACCTCACTCCCACCCCAACCACACTCCCACCCCAACCACACTCCCGCCCCAACCACACTCCCACCCCAACCACACTCCCACCCCAACCTCACTCCCACCCCAACCTCACTCCCACCCCAACCACACTCCCACCCCAACCACACTCCCACCCCAACCTCACTCCCACCCCGGCCTCGCTCCCACCCCAGCCACACCAATCCCACAAGGCCGTAAATCGACCCCCCCCCCCCCTACCCACATCCTCCAATAGCAACATCGCTACAGAGAAAGCGCTGCATCTTATTGCAAATACATTCGGTGGAAGATAACGGGGAAACACGCAGCAGCAGGTCCGTGTGCGCGCTTCGCGGGCATCACGTTGGGTGCGGAACTTCACGCCGTGGCCTTGCACGCTGCCCGGCAGTCCTGGTCACCCGAGTTTGATACCAGGCTGCGGCACACATCAGCGCTGCCGCGAGCAGGAGGGGTGGGGCTGAGGTGGGCCTTGTGCCACCAAACACCCCCCCCCCCCGTTCACTCTTCTTAGTGGGGTATCGCTGCTATAGTGGCCCCCCACACCTGTATGGATATTGAACCTCTTTTGCACCGTACGCAGCCAACCGTGCTAATTGGAGGCACGGTGTGTGTACGTTGAACTTCTCTCGCACCGTACGTAGCCAACCGCGCTAATCGGAGGCACGGTGTGTGTACGTTGAACTTCTCTCGCACCGTACGTAGCCAACCGTGCTAATCGGAGGCACGGTGTGTGTACGTTGAACTTCTCTCGCACCGTACGTAGCCAACCGCGCTAATCGGAGGTGCGGGACCTGCAGCTTGACTGGGCCCCCTAATCCGAGAGGAGCTGCAGCGGGGCCTCATAGGTATTTGGCCATTGCTGCCCGAGCCGAGCCTAGGTACGACTCCACTCGGGAGGGCAGTGGAATCTCATGGCTCACGAGGTTGAGACGGCAACAGAATTCACCGCTTTGTTTTACAATTTCGCGGTGCCTCGTGTGGGTGAATACAATGCACTGGGCTCGGGCTTCCTCGTGACAGTCTGAGGACCGCCGTCTCGTACTCGCGTGCATTGCGGCTCTTTGAAATATCGAGGTTTTTTCCGGAATTCGGAATAAAATGTCAGACCCCCTGGTTGAATTCTCATTTATGAATACGCTCGTTAACCCGGGAAGTCTGAGTCTCAAGTTTTTTCCAGGAGGGTCCTGGCAAGTTCTCCACGTAGTGGGGGAGCGACGTTGCTGTACGTGATCCCAATTGAGTCGCTGCAGCAGCAGCAACAATAAATGCCACCATTGGGGATGTTCAGGCCGAAATACAGTTTGGACTGCATGCCTGATTTCACTTTGGGTGCAAACCAGAGAACCCGGAGAAAACCAGTGCAGAGCTGCATGGCGTGATGGATCGCTGCGATGCATCGTGGAGAGGAGCAGCAGGAGGAGCAGCAGGAGGAGCAGCAGCAGGAGCAGCAGCAGGAGCAGCAGGAGGAGCAGCAGGAGGAGGAGGAGCAGCAGGAGGAGGAGGAGCAGCAGGAGGAGCAGCAGGAGGAGCAGCAGCAGGTGGAGCAGCAGGAGGAGCAGCAGCAGGAGGAGCAGGAGCAGGAGGAGCAGGAGCAGCAGCAGGAGGAGGAAGAGGAGGAGCAGCAGGAGGAGCAGCAGGAGGAGCAGCAGCAGGAGGAGCAGGAGCAGGAGGAGCAGGAGCAGCAGCAGGAGGAGGAAGAGGAGGAGCAGCAGGAGGAGCAGCAGGAGGAGCAGCAGGTGGAGCAGCAGGAGGAGGAAGAGGAGCAGCAGGAGGAGCAGCAGCAGGAGGAGCAGGAGCAGGAGGAGCAGCAGGAGGAGCAGCAGCAGGAGAAGGAAGAGGAGGAGCAGCAGGAGGAGCAGCAGGAGGAGCAGCAGGTGGAGCAGCAGGAGGAGCAGCAGCAGGTGGAGCAGCAGGAGGAGCAGCAGCAGGTGGAGCAGCAGCAGGTGGAGCAGCAGGAGGAGCAGCAGCAGGAGGAGCAGGAGCAGCAGCAGGAGGAGGAGGAAGCCGCAGGAGTGGGGGGTGAATGGTGAGCGGCGCTCGGTCCCGACTGCCGAGACGGCACCGCGTGATGCTGCGGCGGCGAGCGGCGTCGCTAGAGCCCGGTCTCCGCGTGCCGTGCGGCGGCGGTGACGGGGGCCGCACCGTGCCGAGCCAACGTCCCCTCTGCGCAGGAGTCGCTGCTCCTGCTTCTGCTGCTCCTGCTGCTGCTGATGGTGATGATGATGGTGATGATGGTGGTGATGATGGTGATAATGATGGTGATGATCGTAGTGATGGTGGTGATGGTGATAATGGTGGTGATGATGGTGACGATGGTGACGATGATGACGATGATGATGGTGATGATGATGATGATGGTGATAATAGTGGTAATGATGATGAACGCAAAGAAAAGCCGCATCAAGTTTCAAGTTATTAGCGTGTAACCGGGTGAGAACTCGAGAGAGAGCAGGACGAGTTCGATCTGCACGAGCGACCTGGGCCATCGAAGTAACAGAAACAAAACTGGAAATGAAATAAAGCAGCACAGCGACGAAGCAAGTAGCGATGTGGACAAAAGAACACAAAGCACCCACAAGAGTGCACGTGAACCGCAGACAGATATTTCAACCATCTCGGTCGCCGTCCCTCGCAACGTCTGTCCCGACAGCCTTTTGGTTTCTGGGCACCAGGGTGGCGGCAGTGGCTGCCAATGCTCGCGACTCACAGCAAGAAGGGGCCTGAGTTTGATTTGCCAACTCGCGCGGCTTTCTGCGTGGAGTTTGTACTTTCTCTCTCTCTCTATCCCTCTGCCCTGCATGAGTTTCTTCTTCATGTTCTCCGGGGTTCCTCCCGGAGCTAAGAAAACATTGCAGTCGGTATTGGATCAAAACATTTCCTGAAAATGACTCAATTAGCATCACACAGAGCAGCATCATCGGCCCCTGTACTTGCGAACACCTGGCAGGAACCTCCTGAACAAAGGAGTCTTGAGACTCGGTTGAGGCTTTCATGCGTCACTCTTGCAAAGGAAACTTCTATCCTGGTCGCTTGAGAGTTCTCACGCTTGCGTACGGACTACGAGAGCTCCGTATCCACGACACGAAGTCCAAAAGAAGCCAAACGTAAACAACGTTAGGAAAGGATCCAATCGACAAATAACTAAATAGGTAAATGTGAATCTGAATAATAAGAATAGGTTTTACCCTTTAAGTTTTGCAGCCAAGAAGGCTGCTGTCTCTGGTGTAGGCCAATCAGTCTCAACGACAATGCCATCTATTATCAGAGCATGTTTTTTGCATGTTCACCACACGGAGTTGTGGTTAATGCAGCAACGTGATTCCTTGCAAAAGGTTTCTATTTGCTGTTTGAACATCTTAACACCTGTTTTATTGCCAGAGAGAGTAATCACCTATTTTTATTTTTTATTCTTTGATACTGGTAAAACGGCCCCATGCTATAAATGCTCTGACACGTGCATTGTCTTTGTCCTATCCGCCTTTTGGCGTTCTCTGGTCTGACACCGGTGAGACATGGCCATAAAGAAGGCTGCTGTCTCTGGTGTAGGCCAATCAGTTTAAAAGACAACGCATTCACTATTTTCAGAGCATGTTTGTTTGCATGTTCACCAAAAGTACCGTGTGGTTAATGCAGACTGATTCCTTGTAAAATGTTTCTCTTTGGTGTTTGAACATCTTAACTCCTCTTGTTTTATTGCCAGAAAGAGTAAACACCTATTCTTATTTTTCATTCTTTGATACTGGCAAAAAAGGTCCCATGATAAATGTGAATCTGCGGACACTTACAGGATTTAGAATATCACCGTCCAATATTGCGACTACTGCCCCGACGTGTACACACATGGGCAGACAGCCGGCAAGCCTGTGGTACCTGTCATTTCTGTGCTGCTGGTGGACTTGCTGGGATTTCTCTCCGCTCCAGACGTCCGGTGCTATGACCGTCACCCCCACGACCGGCTCAGGAACCTGCCAGAAGCAGCGTCAGGGCGACAAACGCAGTAACGCAGGAGCCCATAGCATGACCAGTTAAACTTGCTAGAAACTCTTACGAAGAATCATTTTCATTGTTACCAGGTAAGGGCCCACTGAGCTATGTAGCTCTTTTTCAGAAGCGACCTGGCAATCACAAATGATAGCCAAGATAGACGGTTAATCACGTGGAGATTTCTAGTAGCCAAAAACTCTAAACACGTGAAATGGGGAGGAATAAACCGGAGACCCAGAGAAAAATCCACGCGATTACGGGGAGAATATTCAAACTCCAAATATACAGGTGTCAGGGTTTGGCTTGAGCCCACGACCTCCTGTATACCAGGCGAGGTAGTTAATATCTCCTAGCCACCGCAGATTACCGGCGAGGGAGAGAGCGGTCCCTACCATCTACCTTGCATAACCGCGTCTCCTTCCATTCGCTCATACGCACTCTCTTGATCTACAGGAATGGCGCGAGACTTTGCCCAGCCTAGGAATTGTTCCCCCGACGTTAGGGGTGGGGGGGGGGGGGGGTACGAAGCCTTCTCGAGTGCAATCGCAATAAAGATGCCTGCCTGCCACCGGACGTCGGGAAAGCGCCAAGCGTCTCTCAATCACGAGGTCTGCACACGACGCAGCTGTTCACACTCGCCTTTCCCTAAAATAAACAAGGGGGAAAACAATATATACGTTTCTTGGCTTATTATTCATGTTCTTATCTTAACGGAATTTATATATAGCGCCTTAACCAAGACGCTTTACAAAGAATGTAAATGTTGGAGATGAGGTGAATTAACTAGATGAGAGGATGCAATGGGGGCGAATCTGTGATGATGCGTGAATTCGGTGAAAGCGAAATTGATGACCGTAAATGACGATGAATGGATTGGATCAATGGGAAATGAGTGAAACCTATTTTATTTAATACTTAACATCTCTCACGCTATTCGGTGCGCAACAGTCAACTTTATGTTGCCCGCGATTTCGATTTACTTTGCTCGGTCGGCGCTAGCCGCTGAGGTCACGCCGAGTTTCTATCTTCATCTCCGTTTGCTGCTCCGTGTCCCCCCCCCGGTATCGTTCACGTGTCTGCCGTAACGCGCACCGATGCCCCTTTTATTGAGGTGCAATGAGTGGCACACAGAATAAAGACCGACCGACCGACTGCCCGAGCGATCGATTACCGTACCTTTCCCTTCACCTCCTGGCTTTTACCGTCGGCCGCTCTGCCGCTCGTGGTGCTCTCCGGCATGAGGTCGTCGATCCAGCCGAGTTCCCGCTTGGAGAAGCAGAGCTCCATGAGCTTGCGCACGAACACCAGCGCGACCACCTGCGGCGGTGGGGGGGGGGGGTGCGGGGGGGGGGGGTACACGGCACACAGCGGTACGGGGATTGGTAGGGCGCCGTACCGCACGCGTTGCTAATTGGATGTGCGGTGTACGTATGTTGAACGTCCTTCGCACCGTACGTAGCGAACTGTGCTAATCCCTGGTTTACGCGCTTTAGTGGTACGCCCTTTTGGAATAACGTGCCGCTTTGTATTTAGATGTTTTTTGACATCGGCGAGACAAATTTCGGAGTAACGCCATCTCCATCGCGACATACGCGCCACCCTAGCCTGGCACCGCGACCCAATGCCACGGCGAGCAGCCAGTACAGCGTGATACTGGTAGGAACCTCCTGGTTCCACCAGCCCACAGAGGAGTATTGTGTCCGTCCGTCCGTTGTGCATCCAAAAATGGGAGGGGTCGGGCTAGGTGGAGAGGGGAGAGTGGGGAGGGGCTGGGTGGGGAGGGAGGGGCAGGGTGGGGAGGATAGGGTGGGGAAGGTGGGGCTGGGTGGGGAGGGGAGGGTGGGGAGGGGCTGGGTGGGGAGGGTGGGGAGGGGCTGGGTGGCGAGGGTGAGGCTGGGTGGGGGGTGGGAGGGGTGGGGCTGGGTGGGGAGGGGCTGGTCACCCCGTGATGCCCTTATAAAACTCAACGTTTAACCTACTCACGCCGGCTTGTGCCCGCCCTCACAGTAGGGCATATTTGAAAAATACACAACGCCGCCGTTGACCCTGGCCATTGACCGAGCAACCCAACGTTCCTACCAGCTCCCTCCGCAGGAATGTGTTAAGTAGTGTGCTATACTGTGCAGCATCTCGCCGCGTGTACACCGGCGCGCCTCCCTTTTGTCTACACAACGCAACTCTGCCGTGCAGTAAGTCCCCGGGTTACGGAAGACCCGACTTACGGAAATCCGACTTTACAGAATTGCTCCGATAAATCATGTCAACAAATATTTAAATGTGTGGAAATGTATGCGTTAGTTACGTAAGCGCAAAGTAGTGCAGCGCAGTGAGGTTAAGGATGAATACCGCCGAGCAAGCATTCAGGTAAATGTAAATTTTTGTAGCGTTACGTAATTCTTATTCTTGCGTAGCGTTTCGTAATTGTTTGTTTTCTATCTTTTTTCCCATGTTTCTATTGCTAGTTTCTTCATTTTAAGTTTATTTCATGAGGTATTGGCTGTATGTACTTTATTTAACACAATTAAAATTCGATTGCTTATAATCTCAGCCAACAGCGATCTGAGAAGTCTTGGCCTCGCCTAATGCACGGTGAACGAACATTCGGAAGTGACTGCTTTCTGTTAACAATTAATATAAAAATGTTTCGTGGTATTCATAAACAACTGGATACAGTATATGCTCCATTAGTTTAATTATTTTGTAGTGTTCGGGTAGATATTCGATTAAATTAAAGAATCATAGGAAGTGCAGAGCGTATGTACAGCGATATACGACACAGGGAGTGATGGAAAACGCGACGCAGTACAGAGAGAAGACGGTAGGGGAGGCACAACGATTCCCGGGGATGGGATTCTCTCGTTGATTTTTGGGGGAAATTGTTCAGTTTCCGACATACGGAAAATGCGGGTTACAGATCGTTCTCGGGAATTGTAACCCTTCCGTAACCCGGGGACTGCCTGTAGTTACAATTGTAGGGGACTAAATGGAGAAGAATCGTTACACGGAGCTACTAAAGATTTATAAAATGTTAAGAAAGCAAGCGCTGAGAGAAGTTAGAAAGAGAACAGGTGGTGAGGGATAATGAGGAACACAGGTGGCTGGATGTCTCACATCCGGAGAGGAAGGGGCACAGGTGGTGAAGGGATAATGGATGAGAGAGAGGGGACTGTCGCAAGGGAAGAGGTAGTGAAGTAATCATTAATGAGAGGGTGCTGTAGCAAAGGAACACATGTAGTGAGGGGGTAATTAATTAGAGGATGCTGTAGCGAGAGAACCACAAGTGGTTAAGAATTAAGGGCCCAGAGGGAGATACAAAAGGGGAGTGTTGCTGGTAATAGGCCTATTGATATATGCTAGGATAATTTCGGTGATTATGTCTGCGAGTGCCAGTGAAATCCCCAAACCCCCTTCTTTACCATTAGTTCTTATGGGAAAATAACATTTGACATGCGCGATTTTTAAATACGCGCGTTTTTCAGGAACGCATCAATCGCGTATGTCAAGGTGTGCCTGTATGTGTTGAACTTCTTTCACACCATACATAGCCAACCGTGCTAATCGGAGGTGCGGTGTATGTGTGTATGTAGAACTTCTTTCGGACCGTCAAGCATGACATCGTCCAGCATGACATTGGGATCTCTTGTATTTCCATTGATTGCTGTTCCATACCTCCTCATATGGGCACGCACATGTCCAGCGCAAGCCTGTTTGGGCATGACATACCTACTTCACATCACCATCACCACCATCATCATAATTTCTGCTTTGATATTTCACGCCCTCGTTCTATCACTTTGCAGCGGCGGGCCCAGTTCCCGCTATGGGGGAGGGGAGTTGGTGGTGCACCCGCCCCATCACCCCCCCACCACCCCCCCAACCTCACCATGATGGGAAAGATGACGGCGGCGGGGGAGGCCTTGACGGCCCAGAGCAGCGCGAGGCACGCGAGCTGGATGAAGGTGAAGAGGTGCACCTTGCGCAGGGGCACGTGCCGCAGGTAGGCCACGTCCGGCTGGTGCTTGGCCGGCATGCCGTACAGCTTGAGCCGCTCGAAGAACTGCACCGCCGCACGCCACGGTCACTCGAGTTCGATTCCACGCCCATAGTGCACGAAACTTTTGTGTGCGTGTGTGCGTGCGTGCGTGTGCGTGCGATGTGTGTGTGCGTGTCTGTGTGTGTGTGTGCGTGCGTGCGCGTGCGCGTGCGTGCATGCGTGCGTGCGTGTGTGTGTGCGTGCGATGTGTGTGTGCGTATGTGCGTGTGTGCGTGCGTGGTGTGTGCGTGCGTGTGTGTGTGCGTGTGTGTGTGCGTGCGTGTGTGTGTGCGTGTGTGCGATGTGTGTGTGTGCGTGCGATGTGTGTGTGCGTGCGTGTGCGATGTGTGTGTGCGTGTGTGTGCGTGTGCGTGCGTGTGTGTGCGTGTGTGTGCGTGTGTGTGCGTGCGTGCACGAAAGTGCTCCGAACCCGGCCATCCGAGTTCAATTCCCCTTTCACGGCCAACACCGGTGACAGTTATCTGAAGCGGTCCTGGGCATCCCCTAGGTCGACTCAGCCTCAAATGAGTACCTGGTGTAGTGTGTAAATATCGCCACTGGGGAGACAAAGGCGGCCGTGTGTGGGGTTGGCCACCTCTGTTATTTTTTGTGCGGTGGTGGAAACTTTCCCAACAAATATTTGTCCCAACCCCAACATCAATTCCGCATCTATTGCACTGCGTTGATTGTGTGTCGTTTTTGAAACTGAACACCTGTGCGTGCACGTGGTGGTTTTCATTTGATTTCACAGAGGCGCGCGAAGCTCACCGGCAAGTGGGAAGGGCAGCCAGAACTGGACACCGACACTCCCCCAAGCTCTGTGGTCCTATATTGGGGTGCTTGGCCAACTCCCTTAACGAGTGCCCATCCACGAGGGAGGTAACCGGAGAACCCGGAGAAACCCAGGCGAGTGAGTGAGAGGGGGGGTAACACTCGATCCCCGTATAGATGGAACACAGATGGCGACTGCCATCGTGCTCTGGCAAGCCAGTGAGGACACGCACAATCCCTCCTCAGTGAGGAGACAAAAGGCTCCCCCCCACCCACTCCCTTGCGTGCCTTGCCCACATTAATAGATGCTCGCCGACAGCACCTGGACCCGTCTTGTGCCCAGCCACGTGCGGAGGGCCAGAGGGGGTTCACGCGTGTCGTGGCGTCTCTTGCCGTGCCGTGCAGTGCCAGACCATGCTGTGGCTCTGTCATGCCGTGCTATGCCGTGCCGTGCTATGGCGTGCTGTGCCGTTCTGCGCCGTGACGTGACGATGCGGCCGTGGCGCACCGCTGTGCACCACGGGGCGAGCGGCGGTACCTGAATGCCCTGCAGGGAGGAGAGTCCCATGTACATGAAGACGCCGTAGAGCACCGGCATGGGGATGAACTGCGGCAGGGACGTTACACAAGCGCGGTGTGAGCGTCAGCGGTCAGCGAGCGTCACTCTGAGCCCAGAGGGAACCCAGTGAGACCAATCGTCCCAGGGCTTCCTCATTTGCGATTCGTCTCTCCCGCAGAATTAGAACACCGACTCCCATAATGTGTATGCCTTGAACGGTGTGCCCGTCCCCTCAGCTACAGCTCCTCCACACAGACGACGCTTCTTCACTCTCCCCCCCCCCCCCCCTACTTAACATCTGCAGCTTCGTCTCAGCCTCACCTCCCGGCCCCCATTCACACTCATCTAACCTCCCCCTCCCGCCCTTCTCCCCCATCACCGTTGGGGGAGAACGAGCCCCCCCCCCCCAACGTACCGCCCACCCGGCCCCCCACTTGTAAAGCCGGGTCGCCATCTCTCGCGTGGTGGGGCGAGGCGGACCGACGGACGCCGCTCCACCCCGCTGCGCCCCCGCTGCGCCAAAACGCTTCGCTGCGGAGAAAGCGAAAAACCTCTCCGGCGAGGGCCTTCCCTGCCGGCGCCTCCATACGGCGGCGCTCACCTTGAGCACGCTGGTCATGAAGACGGAGCAGCCCATGAGCAGGAAGATGAGCACCCCGGTGAGGCGCTGCTCGCGCACGCCCAGGAAGCACGGCTGAGCGCCGGGCGCGGCGCTCTCCGACTCGAGCTTGAGGCTGTTGACGTGCGAGATGGACAGCACCGTGGCCGCCACGAACCACGGCAGCCCCATGACGGAGCACACGGCCAGCATGACGGCCACGCACAGCAGGTCCAGGTGGTAGCCGCAGCCCTTCTGCGCACGCACCGGCAACCCGCCACCACGGCAGTCACCGCCGCAGTCACCATCGCAGTCACCACCGCACCCACCGCAGCCACCACCGCAGCCGCAGCCACCACCGCAGCTACCACTCTAGCCACCACTGCAGTCACCAGCACACCCACTGCAGCACCCACCACCGTATCTACCACCGCAACAACCACCGCAGCCACCGCAGCCACCACCACAGCCACCACCACAGCCACCACCACAGCCACCAGCGGTGATGGTCACCCGGCGAAGATTCACACACGGTGGTGATAGTAACTACTACTACTATGACTGCGAATTTTTCTCTGTAAAGCGCCCTTCATACCATGATGGGTGAGGCCAACGCACACACAGACACACACACACACAGACACACACAGGGATGCACACACACAGGGACACACAAACACACAGGGACACGCACACACAGGGACGCACACACGCGCTCGTTCACTCGGGGACTGCGGGCATTAAACCCACCCGCCATCGACGGCGGTACCTTGAGCTTGTGCTCCTTCCTGTTGATGATGACCGCCGTGATCTGCTGGTCCATGAAGATGAGGATGGTGCAGAGCAGAGCCGGGGCGATCGCCACCAGCGACGACCACCAGGGGTTGGGCCCGATGGGGTCGATGAGCCAGCCTCGGTCGTCTCGAGTCGGCTGCCGGAGTCACGGAACACACACAGGGACGCACGCACACACAGGGACACACACACACAGAGACGGACACACACACAGGGACACACACACACAGGGACGCACACACACGCACACAGGGACGCACGCACACACAGATTGCCCCCACCTCTAGGGAACGCTGTGCGTTGTCAACAGCCGGGGGACATCGTGTGCTTCCCCCTCCTTCCCGTTGTTTCAACTGCGCTCCCTTCATCCTTCTTGGAACAAAGTCGCCGCCGCGAGGGATACTCTTCGCGGGATAATCGCTGGTGGGGACGCGATTCGCACCCCCAGCCGCCCCCCAGCCACAGCCAAATAAAGTTAAAACACGGATTCCTCAAACACTGCGGAAACCTCAAATCCAAACTACATCTGATAGCGGTGCGGTGGCATGGCTGTGTGGCGGTGGTGTGGTGTGGTTGTGTGGTGTGGTGGTTTGGTCGTGTGGCTGTGTGGTTGTGTGGTGTGGTTGTATAGCGGTGTGGCTGTGTGGTGTGGTGGTTTAGTGGTGTGGCTGTGTAGATGTATAGTGGTGTGGCAGTGTGGTGGTGTGGCGGTGTGGTGGTGTGGTGGTATGGTGTGGTGGTTTGGTGGGGTGGCAGTGTGGCGGTATGGTGGTGTGGCAGTATGGTGGTGCGGTGGGGGTAGGGTGTGTCTGGTAGTGGTGTGGTGGTGTGGCAGTGTGGTGGTGTGGCTGGTAGTGGTGTGGCGGTGTTGCGGTGTGGCTGGTAGTGGTGTGGTGGTGTGGCAGTGTAGTGGTGGTGTGGTGGTGTGGCGATGTTGTGGTGTTGCGGTGTGGCTGATAGTGGTGTGGCTGTGTAGTGGTGTGGCGGTGTAGTGGTGGTGTTGCGGTGTTGCGGTGTGGCTGATAGTGGTGTGGCAGTGTGGTGGTGTTGCGGTGTGGCTGCCACCTTGAAGGCGCTGGGCACGTGGAGCTTGGCGGTGGGGATGCCCAGCATGGCGTCCACCAGCACCATGCTCACGATGGTGAGGAACACCGCAAAGTCGCTCACCACGGCACGTACCTACCCCGCCGAGACGCACGGGCACCACGCTCACCCCCACTCACCCGCACTCACCCGCACTCACTCGACACGCTCATCACCCGCATGTCACCCCCACTCAATGCGCTCCTCGTCCCCTTCCGCACACACGACACTCACCACGCGCCCCTCACCGACACTCGCCACTCTTCCCACAAAGGCCATCGTCTCCCTGGGGGTCAACAAAACAAGTGCCACTGAGTGGAGAAGTCGACAGTGGTTGTCCTATGGTTAGACTCGTCCCTGTCATAGAAACGTGGAATTTACACCACTGGCTCAGGGCTGTCAATGGGAGATGAACACCGATGCTTCACTGCTGCTGATTTGAGCAGCAAATCACTCTGGCTTTGCCAGCGTGGCCCGGGTAGGTGTCTGTGTAGGTGCCTGTGTAGGTGCCCGTGTAGGTGCCTGTGTAGGTGTCTGTGTAGATGTCTGTGGGTGTCTGTGTGGGTGTCTGTGTGGGTGTCTGTGCGGGTGCCTGTGCGGGTGCCTGTGCAGGTGTCTGTGTAGGTGTCTGTGTAGGTGTCTGTGCAGGTGTCTGTGTAGGTGTCTGTGTAGGTGCCTTTGCAGATGTCTGTGTAGGTGTCTGTGTGGGTGTCTGTGTGGGTGTCTGTGTAGGTGTCTGTGCAGGTGTCTGTGCAGGTGTCTGTGCGGGTGTCTGTGTAGGTGTCTGTGTGGGTGTCTGTGTGGGTGTCTGTGTGGGTGTCTGTGCAGGTGTCTGTGTGGGTGTCTGTGTAGGTGTCTGTATAGGTGCCCTGTGCAGGTGTCTGTGTGGGTGTCTGTGTAGGTGTCTGTGTAGGTGTCTGTGTGGGTGTCTGTGTAGGTGTCTGTGTGGGTGTCTGTGTAGGTGTCTGTGTAGGTGCCTGTGTAGGTGTCTGTGCAGGTGTCTGGCCTTGGTGGGCAGGTATCTCATGGTCTTGAAGCGCCTGAGGAAGGAGGACAAGAGCAGGGTGGAGAAGAAGAGGAGCACGGAGCAGAGCAGCACGTCCGGCACGTAGGGGCCGCCGGGGCCACACGCCGCTCCCACGAACCCCCCACCCAGGCGCAAGCATTCCTGCACGCACACACATACACACAGATACACACAGATGATACACACGCACAGAGATACACGCACTCACGCACACAGATATACACACACATACAGATGCACTCACACACACATACATTCACACACACACAGATACACTCACGCACACAGATATATACACACACACACAGATACACACACATAGATACACACAAAGATACACACACACCAAGGCCGTAGCCATGGAGTCAACATGGGGGGGACCAAATCTTCCCGGGTGTCTGGGGGTCCCAACCCAGAAAAATATATACATTTGAAAATTAATTTCCTGCCTAAAATATTTAAAAAATCACGAACACATGGGATGGACTTTTTTCTACAATAATGTCGAATAGTGTATTGTATTACATTGCTCTGTTTTTACTTTTTTTACCATTTCTTGTTTCATTGTATGTAATGACAGAGATTAGGGATTAATAAAGTACAGCCATAACCACAATCATATAAACAGAAATTTACGCATTGATTTATATGAAGACAAGTCCAGATATTGTGGCCAAGGTTTAGCAAATTGTTGTTTTTATTTACATAGCATAGCAATTTTTGCATAGCAATATATTTGGGGGGGGGGACATTTTGAGCATATTTGAATATTGGGGGGGATGTGTGTCCCCCAATATATATTATAATTACGGCCTTGACACACACAGACACACACAGATACACGCACACACACACAGATACAACTACAAAATCACCCGTATAACTTGAAGAGACCGTTGGGGCAAGTGCTGTTAGCGAGTAGCACCTATGAAGGCCGGCATGGCACACAAGGAGGTGGGTGGCCAGCACCACGCCCGACCGCCTTTGTCTCCTCAGGACTAATGTGTTAACACACCACAACAGGTACTCATTTAATGCCGAGTCAACCTAGGGGAGGCCCAGGATCGATTCCATTATTAGCTGTGAGCACATAAAAAAAATCGAATTTGGGTCACAATAGGTTCATAAAAACCCATTTGAAAACCGATTACTTCAGACTGCCTTCTTTATTGTATTAGTATCATGATTGTGATAACCTTAAGACTCTTCACCACGAGGGTCCTGCCAAGTTTTTCGCAGGAGGAGCCGATAATGCTGCGTGTGATCCCAATAGAGCCATTTGCAGGTATAAGAATATAAGAATAGGTTTTACCCTTTCTGGCAATGAAACAGGCGTTAAGATGACAAAACACCAAACTGAAACCTTTTGCAGGTAGTTATTCAGCACTGGGATGTGTTTGACCAATGCCATATATACATTGTACGTTTAATATTTCTTGTTGTTTTAAACTTGCAGGGGTGGGGAACGTCCGGCCCGCGGGCCGTATAAGGCCCACCAAATTATTTGGTGTGGCCCTGCCAAGGCAACCGCAGGCGGGACTCGAAACTCAATAAATCTCGGAGCAAACCTGGAAAAGCAGTTGCGAGTAGCAGCAACATCATCAATACCAGCTCACATCACACGCCTCGCCAAAGAGAAGCAGTTCCAGCCATCACATTAGGGGTGAGTTATTAAATGTTTGACCAAATATAACAGGATAATTTTTAAGTTGATAATTTTGTATGGCCCGCGAATGATGTTATAAATATACAAATGATCGTTGGCAGAAAAAAGGTTCCCCACCCCCCTGGTCTAAAGCTAGGAGAGGAAGCCCAACCCCCACCCCCAAAGGAAACCCATGCGGAGCGCTGGCGCTGCGCACGTTGAGTGCGGTGAAAATGGTTTGCGTGACCGTGACGGCCACGGCACGGTGCCGGCTCACGCTGACGGTGAGGTTCCCCCAGGGAATGGCGCTCCCCGTCAAGTTGTGGTGCTCCCACAGGCGCAGCGTCTCGTTGCTGGGTTCCGCGGGAGCCACGCACGCGCACCTGCAGCACGTGCCGCACGCAGCAAACATTCAGCACACGCAGCAGCGCACCTGCAGCGCACGCACTGCACAGCACACCTGCAGCACACAGCGCACCTACAGCACACCTGCAGCACACCTGCAGCGCACGCACACCACGTAGCGCATGCATTGCACAGCACACCTGCAGCACACATGCATCACACAACTCACCTACAGCACACGCAGCACACCTGCAGCACACACACCACGCAGCGCATGCATTGCAAAGAGCACCTGCGGCACACACACCGTAGAACGCACGTGCGTGCCGCGTGCACACACGGCGGGGAGCGAGGCAGGGCCGCCCCACGCTGGTCACGCGTCCTCCAACGCCGTCGTTCCGCCGCTCAGCTGGGGAGCATTGAACGGGGGCTGTGGGAACATTCTCCCCCTGCTGTCCGTGCGTAGGGGAATCGCCCAGACATGGTGCCAAACTCGAGCTGTTATTATCCGAGCCGTTGCATTACCCAAGGGTCTCCCAAAGCCGCCGAAGTTCAGTTAATGAATCCCAGTTGACACGTGTCGTGGACGGGCACTGCAAGATCCGACCGTGTCCTTCCGGTGCTCGCTGAGCTAATGACGGCACACCGGACTAGTGAGCCATCGGTGAGTCGGCACGACCATCACGCAAACTGCAGTCATCCTCGCAGCAGCAGCGGCTTTTGGCTAACCATCGGCCACCGCATCGCGCGCTTTCAGATGCACTCCTGCTTCTGTCTGGAACGCTCTTCCATTCGGTATTAAGGAAGCCACGAGAACGATGCACTTTTAAATCATGTAGATTTAAAATTCATTTCTTTACAACTGGCTTTTAATGTTTAGTTTGTTGTCTTCCCCCCGTATCTCCGATTAGCATGGCTGGCTACGTACGGCGCGAAAGAAGTTCAACATGCAGATATTGATTGTACATACAGCTGGCGGTGGAGGTGCACGGGATATCCAAGGGGCTTAGGGGAGAAAAGCACGGGGAGTGGAGCACGGTTAGGGACGGGTGAGGAGGAAGGGACGAGAGCGCTAAGAAGGTGGAGGTGGAGGAGGGCTCGGGAGAACCTTCGGGGAGGTTCGAGAACGAACACGGAGAGAGGGAGAGACAGAGAGGCTGACAAGGGGCAGCCTCGTGCAGACTTCCCTCTCTCTCACAACGAAGACAAAGATCCCCCGTGTAGCCTTAACAGACTGTTGGGGACAAGTTCTGTTCGTGAGTCGCACGGCACACGAGGGGGTAGGGGGCCAACACCACGCCCTTTGTCTCCCCAGTGGCGATGTTTACATTGCACCCAGGTACTTATTTCTGGCCGAGTCAACCTAGGGGAGGCCCAAGACCGGTTCAGATAATCGTCTCTGGTGTTGGCTGTGAGCAGGAATCAAACTCGGGTGGCCGAGTTCGTAGCGCAGCGCGCTGACCGCTACTACACTACCGCTTCACACCAATCGCTACACCCGGAATTCGCCACTAAGTGATGGTGACGTCGGCACACTTTGAGGTCACGTGAAGTGTCGAAGGCTCGTTGACGGTAGTCACCGAGACAGACCCTGCAGGTGCCATGGGGTTGACCGACTGAGATGGCTAGCAGATTCACACCAGCTGTGCCCCCCCCCCCCCCCCCGCTACTCACGCGCACGCACAGAGACGACGAGGAAGAGCGTGCGTGCGTCGGCCACCACTCACGAGTAGTGCGTGAGCCGCTGCAGGTCCACGCGGGGGTTCACGGGGTACTCCTCGCCCAGGCGTACGAGCTTCTCCAGCGCCTCGTAGATGAAGATGACGCAGATGAGCGCGGCGAAGGCCTCCTCGGTGAAGCGCGTGATGTAGCGCACGAGCGAGCTCGCGTCCGTGGCCACGAGAAGCAGGCAGAGGAACGCCGTCCACAGGCCGATGCACGCGCGCAGCGACAGGTACGACCAGCCGTGTGCCCTACACGCACGGGGGGGGGGGGGGCGACAGGTACGACCAGCCGTGTGCCCTACACGCACGGGGGACGGAGCGACAGGAATGACCAGCCGTGTGCCCTACACGCACCGGGGGGGGGGGGGGCGACAGGTACGACCAGCCGTGTGCCCTACACGCACGGGGGGGGGGGGCGACAGGTACGACCAGCCGTGTGCCCTACACGCACCGGGGGGGGGGGGGGGGAGCGAGGGGTGCGGAGGGCACACGTGGAGACGCAGGAGATGCACACCCCCCTGGTCAAGGGTGCCGCGGTCACTAGGAGATGTTAACTTCCTCGCCCGGAGGTCGTCGGTTCGATCCCAACCCTGACGCCTGTTGTACATTTGGAGTTCGCGTGTGCTGTCTCTCTCTCCGCGGTTGTGTGGAGTCTTCTCCGGTTTTTCCCCTCTTTGTTTAGAATCAACGTCACGCGTTTAGAGTGTTTGGCCGCTATACATTTTTCCGCGTCATAAGCCACTTCATTGAGCTGTCATTTGTGATAGCCAGGTCGTTTCTGAAAATAGATACATAGCTCAGTGGGCCTTAGATGGTAAAATAAAACATTGTTAATATTCTTTGGGTCTTTCGGTAAAGTCACGCAGATAGATTAAAAAAAGAAACAAGCTTGTGTTGCGATCGAAACATCGTAGTTTTTGGTTATTTTCTTTGAACCTATCTACGTGACTTTACCGAAAGATCCAAAGAATATGAATTCCTGCAGTCTCGAACGTTTTAAGTCAAGATAAAACATTGTTTAGTTTTAGTAGTTTAGCAGTTTAAGGTGCAAAGCTCCGGACTTTCCTGGTTTTTCCTCCGTCCATGACCCCTCTCTCTCTCTGCCCCATGCAACCACCCCCCGCCGCCGCGAGAATCCACATTATGGTGCGGTATGGTACGTTGCATCACCACCATCACCACCACCATCATCATCAACAACATCAGGAGAGAGGTATGAGCAAAGTATCATCTTCACCTCTGCTTCCTCCTCCATCACCACCTACTCGATCTCTACTCTGACCTTTAACATCACCATCTCACCTATACTGACCACCATCTCAACTCTGACATGGACGTGATAAATTGTCACCGTCTCCACCCTCACCTCCATCTTCACCCTGAACATCGTCTCCTCCACAGCCTCTTCAAGCTGGTGACGATGGTGGTGGTGGTGGAGATGGTGGTGGTGGTGATGATGATGGTGGAGGTGGTTATGGTAATGATGGTGATTATAATGGTGTTGATGATGGTGGTGGTCATGATGGTGGTGATGATGATGGTGGTGGTCATGATGGTGGTGATGATGGTGGTGGTGTTGATGATGGTGGTAGTGGTGGTGACGGTGGCATTCATTATTGAGCGACTCACTTGCAGAATCCGAAGAGGATTTTTTCAAAGACGAGTACTGGGCCTGTGCTGCCCAGGATAGTGAGAGGCTGCCCCGCGAATATGGAGAAGGCCAGGCCGGTCATGGAGGCTCCCAGGAGAGATTCCATGGCACTCTAAAAAGACAAAGACCAAGATCCCCCACCGGGAATGGTTAACAGACTGCCAATGCTCTCACTCCTCTCGCTTTCTTTAGAACTGCAGCTTGTTGTTGTGTTCAGTTTGTGGTCCTTCCCCCGCACCTCCGACGAGCACGGTTGGCTATGTACGGCGCGAAAGAAGTTCAACGCACACATACAGCTCAACATAAGAACCTTATGGCGGGACCTCGGGGTCCCATAAGCCCCCGGCTCTCGCGTAAACATTATATTATAATGTAAACAAAAACTTCGCTTTTTTCACCAATGGGTTTGAATGATGGTGGCAAGTGTTGTATTTTTAAACTATGCATAATAAAACTGAAAACTACTTAGCTGGAGTACCTCTATTTAAATACACTATTTAAAAATAATTTACACCCCTCTGTCAATCATCGTGTTTCTCTGTGTGGATATGTGAACACACTTTGTAAACAGTACATAAAATAGTACGCATCTTCAATGCGCTGCTTATATTGTAACAAGCGTTTATACCAATGTTACTCTACAGATGCATACGGACAAGATAAGTATTATCAAACAGGAGGAATTAACGGTGCAACGCATCTCATCTGTTAAATATCTGAAGGTAATAGGATTGTCATCGATTGATCCTGCCTGTAGACATTGGTAGGTCACAAATAATCATGAAGATTAGAGAGCAGATTCACTGTATTGTGCAAACCGTGATGACAAATTAAGGACTTAAATATTCTTAGGTTTTTCGGTTAAGTCACGTAAGTAAAACATCAAAATAAAAATAAAATAAAAATAATAAAAATAATAATTGTGATTTTTATTATTTTTATTATTTTTATTTTATTTTTATTTTATTTTGATGTTTTACTTACGTGACTTAACCGAAAAACCTAAGAATATGAATCTTTGCAGTCACGAAAGCTTCAAATCTAGAATTAAGGACTTAAATCGTGTAGGCAGTTTGAGCAGCTTTGGATAAGACTTATGATCCTGCTCATAGCCGAGCATGGAGCGCATTCGCTTGTTCAGCTCTTCTGCGCATTCGTCCTCGCTGCTGCTGCGCTTGGACATGACATGACAATGACAACAGAACTATCCGCGCCACGCGGGTCGCGGCGTTTTCGTGCGCGGTGGGACGGAGTCGCCAAAAATAAATTAATTATTAATCTCACTTCCATTTATCCCGCCATAAGGTTCGTATATACAACATACACACAACATCCATAACACAGGTTTTTTGGGTTCGATAGCGTAAATATATAAATGTGTCGTTAAACCCGCCACCACCTGCCAATTAGTAAGGTTTGTCACATAAACAGAATATGGCAATTACTAGCAGAGCACCGGTGTTGTGTTGGAGAGTAAATCCACAACATTTACAAAGTACGACGTTTCGTCAGGAATGACAACAAACTAAATCCTCCTGTTTCGTTCTATAAATAGAGGGATAGATGTGATGGCCAACTTGTGAGTCCTTCGCATGGGAAGGTCAAAGGGGGCCGGGGTGGATTCATGAATGCATATATACACACAACGTACATACAACATTCGTACAACATACATGAACGGGAAAAAGTGACGAAGCCTCACTGCGTGTCCGGACAGACGTGGCGCCGTGACTGCCTGGCCCCGGGGGGTGGGGGGGGGGGGTCGTGGGGTGGGGGTCACGGGGTGTTGGGGGGGGGGTCATGACCTCGTGGTGCCACCGTGCACCACTGCGGTGTGCGTGCGACTCACGATGGAGCCGTCGGTGGCCTCTCCCAGCAGGCCGCCGAAGGTGATGACGGGCGACATGCAGGCGCAGTAGAGGAAGAGGAACGAGGCGACGCACTGCAGGCTCGTGCCGTCGCGCACGTCGCTCCAGTACCACGGCGCCTTCCGCCGCACGTCCCCGACGAGCCCCCCAAAGAGCCTGGCAGGAACGAGAGCCGCTCACGCCGCTCGCGCCGCTCACGCCGCTCCACGGGGCCCAACAGAAGCCAGGAGATGTTAACTACCTCGCCTGGTTTACTAAAAACTAATGAAAACAATTTTTTATTTGACCAGGTGATGGCCCTCTGGGCTCTGTAGCTATTTTTCAGAAGCGACCTGGCCATCACTAATGATAACTCGACCAATTGGATTCTCATCGTCATCATCATGTCGAAATTTATAGAAGTAGCCAATTACTCAAAACGCGTGATGTTGATTCTAAATGTGTGGGGGGGGGGGGGGGGACTGCAGGACCTGGAGAAAAACACGACCACGAGGAGAACATGCAAACTGTAAATATACAGGTGTCAGGGTTGGGATCAAACCCACGACCTCCTGTATACCAGACGACGGAGTTAACATCTCGCGCCCTGACGCCTGCTGTAAATTTGGAGTTTGCGTATCTCTCTCTCTGTGGTCATGTGGATTTTCCTCCGTGCCCTCCGGGGTTCCCCCTCTACATTTAGAACCAGCGTCACGGGTTTCGAGTGTTTGGCTACTGCTATACATCTCCACGTAGTGATGATGATAAGCCACGTGGTCGTGTTATCATTATGGCCAGGTCGCTTCTAAAAATAGCTACACAGCAGGTCAGCGGGGCCTTACACCTGCACAAATAAAACATTGTGTTTATAGCCTCGTGGTAGTTTAGCTCCGGCCTCGTTGCCGCACTTGCGTTTTACTTCGCGGAACCGTTGGGGGTTTTTTACACGTTTTTATTTAACTCACTCCGTCTGTTGTATCCTCAACTCTGTCTGTTGTCGTATCCTCAAATCTTGTGACTCAATTTTAACCCACTTCCCAATGTCGTATCGACTGAAAACTTGGAATACGCATGTCATACTGATGACAATTCTGTATTGTATAATAAAAAAAGAAAATTTAAGCAATATTTTTTTATATGTTATGTTTCGGCTTGGGTCTAATTGTCCACGCTCAACTCACGTTGGCTGTAAATCACCACGGTCCCTTACGTTATGGCAAGCCTCGGGGACACTTCCTGGAGTCGTAGAGTTCTGCTATTACTTGTACGGTACATTTCATTAAAGCGTGTTTAAAAAAAAAATATTTTTAAACATTACTTATTTTGTCCCGTCTACTTTCGCTCACGGGGTTTGTCTGCGACCGTGCTGTCAAGGCCGTGAGGTTAACTCCCACAAGGCAGTGCGCTGCCCTATCTCTCTCTCACTCTGCGCGTGTTGAAGAACGGCCCGCGGAAATGGACGTGTCAGAACTGCTTCTTGAGATCCCGTCAAGTAGCAATTTCCCGCACGCCCCGCTATAGACAACAACCAATGTTATAATTGGTTTTTTACCCTTCTATCTGGCAACAAAACTGACACCTTTTTTACAAGGAGTCATGTTTGCATAGACCACAATACCTGCAGTCATAATGCAAAAAAAAACATAACTCTGATAATGTGCACTGTCCTTGAAGTTGATTGGTCCACACCCGAGACAGCTTTCCTTAGAGCCTAGTCTCACATGGGTTGGACCATATGACGCCAAATGTTGGGTTAGATCGTGATCTAACCCAACAAACTTTCTGTTGAATTATGTTGTTGTTGTCTGATTGTATTACTCTGTCATTATTATGATTATTATTGTAATTCGCTTTTATCATAGTTCTTCATTTAATTGCAATTTCGAGTGTAATCCTTGATATTGTTATCATCGGCTTTCTATGCCGCTTAATCCATACTTGTGAGCGTAGCTTTATGTTTACGTGCAGTGCTTTGAGATAACTTCAACATGAAGGGCGCTTCATAAAATAGAGGTTATGGTTGTTAAGTATTATAATAATTGTTATTACCTGCCCGTGCGCTGGAGCTCAGGTCCCAGGCTGTGCTCGGGAGCTTTGGGCTCCACCCCGACTCCGGTTCCATTGGTCACCGGCGAAGTTTTCCGTTTCTCCTGTCCCATTCACCCGGGAGCAGTGAGAGACGTGGAACATAGACCTCCGTTCACGCGCAGCGCGCTCACCCTGCCTGCCGGCATCGGGGCTTTACGTTCCACTGAACAAATCGAGCAATCAGACGAGTCATCAAAACCAACTCGGCACCAACATGCCAAAGTAGGGCCAAAGTTCCACGCTTACTGGGAACCAACCAATGACACGGATGAAATCTAACCGACCGGTAACAATCATCAAAGAACTCCATAAGTCGAAACATCAATCATTCCATCCAATCGGAAATTAACCTATCTGTTTACCTGTAAAATAGTCCAATCAATCACTCAGCCAATGCCTCAATCACTCCATCAGATACATTAATCAATCCATTCATCAATCCATCAACCAATAAATCCGTCATTCAATGGCAGCCGCCCCCCCACTCCCATATCCTGCCTCCCGAAGGGGGGAAACCCCCAACAAGGCGCCTCCCGTCTCTGTCCCAGGCATCTTCTGCCACGGGGGCTGCCCTTGGCCTCATTGGTGCTGACCCTGGGGCTCGCCGTTGGTGGTGTTGTGGTCATTATTGTTGACGCTGTTGTCATTGTTGTTGTTGTGGCCGTTATTGTTGTTGTCGTTGTCATTGTCTTTGTTGTCGTTGTTGGTGCTGGGCCCACGTTGCTTGGTCCCGGGCCATGCTGCTTTACCCTCCTCTCTACCCTCGCGCGTCTCCAGGGCCCTAACCTCAACCCCCAGGTCCCTGACCTCCACCCCCAGGTCCTTGACCTCCACCCCCAGGTCCCTGACCTCCACCCCCAGGGCCCTGACCTCCATCCCCAGGTCCCTGACCCCCAGGTCCCTGACCTCCACCCCCAGGTCCTTGACCTCCACCCCAGGGCCTTGACCTCCACCCCCAGGTCCCTGACCTCCACCCCCAGGTCCCTGACCTCCACTCCCAGGTCCCTGACCTCCACCCCCAGGGCCCTGACCTCCACCCCCAGAACCCTGACCTCCACTCCCAGGTCCCTGACCTCCACCCCCAGGTCCCTGACCTCCACTCCCAGGTCCCTGACCTCCACCCCCAGGACCCTGACCTCCACTCCCAGGTCCCTGACCTCCACCCCCAGGACCCTGACCTCCACCCCCAGGTCCCTGACCTCCACTCCCAGGTCCCTGACCTCCACCCCCAGGACCCTGACCTCCACCCCCAGGTCCCTGACCTCCACTCCCAGGTCCCTGACCTCCACTCCCAGGTCCCTGACCTCCACCCCCAGGTCCCTGACCTCCACCCCCAGGTCCCTGACCTCCACCGCCAGGACCCTGACCTCCACCCCCAGGTCCCTGACCTCCACCCCCAGGTCCCTGACCTCCACACCCAGGTCCCTGACCTCCACCCCCAGGTCCCTGACCTCCACCTCCAGGACCCTGACCTCCACCCCCAGGTCCCTGACCTCCACTCCCAGGTCCCTGACCTCCACCTCCAGGACCCTGACCTCCACCCCCAGGTCCCTGACCTCCACTCCCAGGACCCTGACCTCCACCCCCAGGTCCCTGACCTCCACCCCCAGGACCTTGACCTCCACTCCCAGGTCCCTGACCTCCACCCCCAGGACCCTGACCTCCACCCCCAGGGCCCTGACCTCCACCTCCAGGACCCTGACCTCCACTCCCAGGTCCCTGACCTCCACTCCCAGGTCCCTGACCTCCACCCCCAGGTCCCTGACCTCCACCCCCAGGTCCCTGACCTCCACCCCCAGGTCCCTGACCTCCACTCCCAGGTCCCTGACCTCCACCCCCAGGTCCCTGACCTCCACCCCCAGGTCCCTGACCTCCACCCCCAGGACCCTGACCTCCACCCCCAGGGCCCTGACCTCCACCTCCAGGACCCTGACCTCCACTCCCAGGTCCCTGACCTCCACTCCCAGGTCCCTGACCTCCACCCCCAGGTCCCTGACCTCCACCCCCAGGTCCCTGACCTCCACCCCCAGGTCCCTGACCTCCACTCCCAGGTCCCTGACCTCCACCCCCAGGTCCCTGACCTCCACCCCCAGGTCCCTGACCTCCACCCCAGGACCCTGACCTCCACTCCCAGGTCCCTGACCTCCACCCCCAGGTCCCTGACCTCCACCCCCAGGTCCCTGACCTCCACCCCCAGGTCCCTGACCTCCACCCCCAGGTCCCTGACCTCCACCCCCAGGTCCCTGACCTCCACCCCCAGGTCCCTGACCTCCACTCCCAGGTCCCTGACCTCCACCCCCAGGTCCCTGACCTCCACCCCCAGGTCCCTGACCTCCACCCCCAGGTCCCTGACCTCCACCCCCAGGGCCCTGACCTCCACCTCCAGGACCCTGACCTCCACTCCCAGGTCCCTGACCTCCACTCCCAGGACCCTGACCTCCACCCCCAGGGCCCTGACCTCCACCTCCAGGTCCCTGACCTCCACCCCAGGTCCCTGACCTCCACTCCCAGGTCCCTGACCTCCACCCCCAGGACCCTGACCTCCACTCCCAGGTCCCTGACCTCCACCCCCAGGACCCTGACCTCCACCCCCAGGGCCCTGACCTCCACCTCCAGGACCCTGACCTCCACTCCCAGGTCCCTGACCTCCACTCCCAGGACCCTGACCTCCACTCCCAGGTCCCTGACCTCCACCCCCAGGTCCCTGACCTCCACCCCCAGGACCCTGACCTCCACTCTTAGGTCCCTGACCTCCACCCCCAGGACCCTGACCTCCACCCCCAGGGCCCTGACCTCCACCTCCAGGACCCTGACCTCCACTCCCAGGTCCCTGACCTCCACTCCCAGGTCCCTGACCTCCACCCCCAGGTCCCTGACCTCCACTCCCAGGTCCCTGACCTCCACCCCCAGGTCCCTGACCTCCACCCCCAGGGCCCTGACCTCCACCCCCAGGTCCCTGACCTCCACCCCCAGGTCCCTGACCTCCACTCCCAGGTCCCTGACCTCCACTCCCAGGTCCCTGCCCTCCACCCCCAGGTCCCTGACCTCCACTCCCAGGTCCCTGACCTCCACCCCCAGGACCCTGACCTCCACCCCCAGGACCCTGACCTCCACCCCCAGGTCCCTGACCTCCACCCCCAGGTCCCTGACCTCCACCCCCAGGACCCTGACCTCCACCCCCAGGACCCTGACCTCCACTCCCAGGTCCCTGACCTCCACCCCCAGGACCCTGACCTCCACCCCCAGGTCCCTGACCTCCACTCCCAGGACCCTGACCTCCACCCCCAGGTCCCTGACCTCCACCCCCAGGTCCCTGACCTCCACCCCCAGGTCCCTGACCTCCACCCCCAGGACCCTGACCTCCACCCCCAGGTCCCTGACCTCCACCCCCAGGACCCTGACCTCCACCCCCAGGTCCCTGACCTCCACTCCCAGGTCCCTGACCTCCACCCCCAGGGCCCTGACCTCCACTCCCAGGTCCCTGACCTCCACCCCCAGGTCCCTGACCTCCACCCCCAGGGCCGGCGCTAGGGGGCCACTGAGGTGGGCCCTGCACCACCCAGTGTCCCTGTGTTCCCCCTCCCTCCCAGCAGGATCTCACTGACATGGTGCCCCCCACAATTAATCTCTGCAGGCCCCCAGTATCCCACCACCCATCTTACTCGAATGTAATGAGAGCATTGCTCTTTTTTCATTTATATTATTCGAAGTCGTTGTTGTGCCATTTGTTGTTTATGACTGTTGTGGTTGTTATGGTTGTTGTCGTTGCTGTTGTGGCGGCGGTTGCTGTGGATGTCGTGGTTGCGGGCTGTTGTGTGTTTGTTGTTTATTGCTCTTTTGATTGTGTTTCTTGTTGCTTCTTGTTGTGTTGTTGTTGTCGGCACAGTAGGGGGTACAGCTGGTGCAACTGCCATCATCTCAGTCAATTAACCCATGGTAACCTGGCTCTCTCCTGTGTGACCTCCTGCCAGCAGCGAGCCTTCGACATTTCACGTGGCCTCAAAGTGCACCGTGGAAATGTCACTGCTGCTTATTGGTGAATCGCGGCTGTATTGGTTGTTATTGATGTTGCTGTTGTGGCGGTGGTTTATGTGGATGTCGTGGTCGCGGGATATTGTTGTTTGTTGTTTATTGCTCTGGAAGTTGTGTTTGTTGTCACGCTCCCTTGCCCACACTGCAAGGGACCGGCCTCTTCAGCCATTTGAAGATCCACAAACAGGATCCGCCAAAAGGACAATCCACAAACTTGCATACCTGTCAACCCCTTATCAGTGCCCACCTTATTACAGACCAATTAAGATCTTCGTGGTCACCGCGTGCCCTTATAAATCTCAACGTTCATCGTACAAAGTGCCATCACAAATGAGAAACACAAACAAACAGACATTTATTTTTGCCCGTATTGAAACGGCCGTATGCCTTATGGACCTAAAAACTACATTTCCCTGTAGAAGAATACGGGGTGAACCATATGGCTTGACAACTATGTGCTCGACCCCGAGTGATCGCCGGTGATGACGATGTTGTTGTCGCGTCGTGGTGAATGGTGGCTGCACTGCTATCGGTGTTGCTTCTTGTTGTTGATGACGATGCCGTGTGCTCACCTGCGATGGCAGGTGTTTGGGGGGCTCGATGCGGATGGACGGGTCCCACTCGCCGGGGGGCAGCACCAGCACCTGCTCCATGAACTCGTCGATCCCGAGCAGCAGCTCGTGCCGCCCCTGCGCCCTGTAGGCCACAGCGTGGAACACCTGGAGGGGGGGGGGGGGGCAGGTGAAGCTGAGGCGTGATAGGGACCAGTTGAGGTGTGATTCAGACAACGCTCGGACATGTGACACCTGTCTGAGACCAGGTGATGAGCCCAAGTAATGAGGACCTGCCTGAGATCCGGAGGCGGAGATGTCACCACGATGCTTGTGCCAGGCTAGGTGCACTTTGAGGCCAACGTGTGTAAATGTGGAAGGCTTGCTGCTGGCAGGCGGTCACGGGACAGATCCGGGTGTTGTCGGTCGCCATCGTCATTGTCGTCATCATCATCGCCACATCCATCGCCGTCGTCATATCACGACGCAGAACCGCGTGTTCCTCGCCTCCCCGATAATGTCCAGCGAGTTTATCGAGCAAAACTTGATGAGTGAGGGGTCGTGTTGCGGCAGCGTTGTCGTCAACGAAGTGTACGACGTGGCGGAACACTCCTCCTCCTTCTCCTCCTCACACCCCTCCTCCTGTGTGCGTGTGTGGTGCGTGCGTGGTGCGTGCGAGGTGCGTGCGTGGTGCGTGCGAGGTGTGCAAGGTACGGGAGTGGTGGCCCCACCTCGTCCGACAGGAGCGTGGCGATGGAGCGACCGATCTCACGGTAAGGACGGCCGCCTCGTACCGGCGGGCCCAGCAACAGGAACAAAAATCTACGCATGCGCACGCACGAGCAACGATTCGTGCGGTTGGCTGCATATGGTGTGAGAGAAGTTCGGCGTACAATCTGTTCTCCTATAACGCGGTAGATGCGTTCATGAAGAGCACCGCGTTATAATAAATAATATATAGTATAGGGGTAGAGGACAGTCCGCGAGAATGAGTGAGATGCGTAACGCAGGCTGAACAAATACTACTGTGCGTGGGTAGCATCTAGAAGCATCCAGCAGCATCCCGCCTTGTGTGATGATGCTACGCCGAGGCAGCCAGACAATTGCTTATTCGCGTGACGTAGTTCCGCTTGTTCGATCGCGTTACATCCAATTGGCATCAGAATTATAAACAAATATGTTCCCTAATACATTCACCGCTTTATATCCAATTCGTGTTGTGAAAACAACACACGGCACTATAGGAGAACAGACTCTACATACATTCGTACAACGCACACGGACATGAGCATGAACGTGCTTGTAAAGACAAAGATCCTCCCCTCCTTGTATAGCCTTAACAGACTATTGGGGCAAGTGCTGCTAGCGAGCACCTGTGAAGGCCGGCACGGCAATATGCCCGGCGCCTTTGTCTCCCTAGTGGTGACTTTTACACAACGCACTAGATACTCATTTGAGGCCAAGTCGACCTCGGGGAGGCCCAGGACCACTTTAAATAATCGTCACTGGTGTTGGTGGCCGTGAGCAGAGATCGAATTTGGGCGCCAGGTTCGTAGCGCGGACTCGGGGAACATGGGGACTCGGAGACACAGGGAACATGGGGGACACGGGGACACAAGGGATTCATCTTCAAGGGAAGACACAAGGGATGCGGGGGATGTGGGGACACAGGAGATGTGGGGGATGTGGGGACACAGGGGATGCGGGGGACACAGGGACACAGGCGATGCGGGGGACACAGGGACATGGGGTAGTTGGGGACACGGGGGATGTGGGGACACAGGAGATGCGGAGGACACAGGGACATGGGGTAGTTGGGGAAACGGGGGACACGGGGGATGTGGGGACACGGGGGATGTGGGGACACAGGAGATGCGGGGGACACAGGGACATGGGGGACGCGGAGACCATTGGGCCACAATCGCCGGTGGGACTCGTACCGCGTGGGCAGCGGCACCTCAGTGAGACCGGGGATGAGGGCGGCCCGGGAGAGGCGCACGAAGGCCACGAGGGGGCTTGCCAGGGCGTCCACCTCGCCCACCATCACGTTGGCTGCCTCCGCCCCCGGTGGGATCTTCCGCAGGAAGCTGAGATCCACCTGGCAGTCGGCGAAGGGAGGTGAAGAAAATAAAAGAGGTTTAATATCGCAAGCGCTCCACGCGCGTCATTGGCCGCAACCTGCTCAGGGCTGAGGTCGCCAGGCTGGGTCACCACTGCCTGGGGCATCTGGTCAGCTGCAGGCCCCAGGAAGAGCCTGGTGGCTACAACTATTCACAGAGCTATGAATCTCTTGTTGACAAGCGACTTGGCTATCACAAATGAAAGGAGCTCAACACAGTGGCTTTTCATCGTGCGAAAATGTATAGTAGCAGCCACATTTTTAAATAAACACGTTATGTTGATTCTAAATGTGGAGGGAAAAATCGGAGGACCTGGAGAAAAATCCACGCAACCGCGGGAAGAGAGACACACAAAACTCCAAATATACAGCATGCGACAGGGTTGAGATCGAAACCACGACCTCCTGTATACCAGGCGAGGTAATTGATATCTCATCACCGCGGCCGCCCAATCGGATGTGCAGCAATGTGTTATGTTGAACTTCTTTTGCACCGTATGTAGCCAACCGTGCTAATCGGAGGAAAACAAACACAACACAAAAAGCAGTTCTTAAGTATTTAGTTTTCAATTGAGATTTTAAAGTGCATAGCTCCAGTGACTTCCTAATATTTAAAGGAAGAGCATTGCAGACGGCCGCAGAGGCACATCTCAAAGCGTGTGATGCGGTGACCATCTCTCTTCGATCGCCAGACAAAAGCCGCTGCTGCGAGGATGGACTGGAGTTCGCTTGATGATGGTTTATTACTCCATGACGAGATCAGCTAAATAATTGTGGTTCATTTGTGGCAAGTGCTTGTGTGTGTAATGAGTGCAACCTCATGACGCATCCGTTCGGCAACCAGAAACCAATGCAGCTCGGTGAGCGCTCTTACAGTGTCTCGGCGGCCTCCCGGCATGGTCATCAAGCTGCCGTTTGTCTGCGGAGACATTCGTAACAAGAGTACGCCCCTCGGCGGCCCTACGTCCGCATCATCGCAGGGTCTCTCGAGAGACGGCGGAGAAGGGGGTGGAGGGGGGGCTCTCGGCCCTGTGTGGTTGAGCACACGCGCGCGTGAGCTGCTCGACCCGCACGCGCGCACCTTGCTGAAGTCCACGTTCGAGTTCTCTCTGCTCACGCCGCTCCGCGTCTCCCCATCCACGAGGGGCGACGTCAGCAGCGCCGCGTGTCCTGCTCACGAGAACGTGCGGCGGGAGATGAAACGCAGCCGGCGGGCACGATGCCACCGGTGACCCAGTCTCAGACCCCGCCCGTGACTCGGTCTTGGAACCCGCACGTGACCCGGTCTCTACCCCGCCCTTGACCCGGTCTCGGCCCCGTACGTGACCCGGTCTGTGACCCCGTACGTGACCCGGTCTCTGACCCCGTCCTTGACGCAGTCTCAGACCCCGTCCTTGACCCGGTCTCTGACCCCGCCAGTGACCTGGTCTCTGACTCCGTCCTTGACCCGGTCTCAAAAATTATCACGCTTGTACCGCGAGTGTAAGAATCGATTTTAATAATTAATAATCATTAAATTTACATTGTGGCTTTCGTCCAGGATCTCAAAGCACTGTACCAGACACAATAGCAGCAGCAAATACTCAACGTAAAAACAACTCGTGATTATGATGATGACTGTGATTTTGGATGGTAATGATGATAACAATGACGATAATGATGATGATGACAATGAAAATCATAAGAAAAATTAAGCTTATGATGATGAAGATATTGATAATCATGACAATGATGATACGGACCATAATAATGATGATGACAATGATGAAGATAATGATTATTATGGTGATGAAGATAACATTGAAGCTGATGATGACGACGACGGCGGCGAGTCGCCCTGCTGACCCCCCTCACGACGACGAGTCCCACCGCTGCGGTCGAGGAACTGGCTCTCCGAGTACTTCTTGCCGATGTCCGCGATGGAGCGCACAATGGGGATCCTGCTGCTCAGCCTCTTCTCGCTCTGGTGCCGCGGCGGCCTGAGGAGGATGCCGAGGAGCCGCTCCCGAAGCGCCTTGTCGCCCGCCACGCACCCCACCCCAACCACCCCCTCCACCGCCGCCGCCGCCGCCGGGTCGCCCAGTATCGCCCCTGTGGGGTCACGGACACGCAAACGGCGAGGCCTCGTCGTGACGCCGTTCGCGAGTGATTGCGACTAGGAGCCCACTAGGAACCCACTAGGAACCCACTAGGAACCCACTAGGAGCCCACTAGGAACCCACTAGGAGCCCACTAGGAGCCCACTAGGAACCCACTAGGAGCCCACTAGGAACCCACTAGGAGCCCACTAGGAGCCCACTAGGAACCCACTAGGAACCCACTAGGAGCCCACTAGGAACCCACTAGGAGCCCACTAGGAGCCCACTAGGAGCCCACTAGGAGCCCACTAGGAACCCACTAGGAACCCACTAGGAACCCACTAGGAGCCCACTAGGAACCCACTAGGAGCCCACTAGGAACCCACTAGGAACCCACTAGGAGCCCACTAGGAACCCACTAGGAGCCCACTAGGAACCCACTAGGAGCCCACTAGGAACCCACTAGGAGCCTACTATGAGCCCAATAGGAACCCACTAGGAACCCACTAGGAGCCCACTAGGAGCCCACTAGGAGCCCACTAGGAACTCACTAGGAGCCTACTAGGAGCCCAATAGGAACCCACTAGGAGCCCACTAGGAACCCACTAGGAGCCCACTAGGAGCCCACTAGGAACCCACTAGGAGCCCACTAGGAACCCACTAGGAGCCCACTAGGAGCCCACTAGGAGCCCACTAGGAGCCCACTAGGAATCCACTAGGAACCCACTAGGAACCCACTAGGAGCCCACTAGGAACCCACTAGGAGCCCACTAGGAGCCCACTAGGAGCCCACTAGGAGCCCACTAGGAACCCACTAGGAGCCTACTAGGAGCCCAATAGGAACCCACTAGGTGCCCACTAGGAACCCACTAGGAGCCCACTAGGAACCCACTAGGAACCCACTAGGAGCCCACTAGGAACCCACTAGGAACCCACTAGGAGCCCACTAGGAACCCACTAGGAGCCCACTAGGAGCCCACTAGGAGCCCACTAGGAACCCACTAGGAGCCTACTAGGAGCCCAATAGGAACCCACTAGGAGCCCACTAGGAACCCACTAGGAGCCCACTAGGAGCCCACTAGGAACCCACTAGGAGCCCACTAGGAACCCACTAGGAACCCACTAGGAGCCCACTAGGAACCCACTAGGAGCCCACTAGGAGCCCACTAGGAGCCCACTAGGAGCCCACTAGGAACCCACTAGGAGCCCACTAGGAACCCACTAGGAGCCCACTAGGAGCCCACTAGGAACCCACTAGGAGCCCACTAGGAGCCCACTAGGAACCCACTAGGAACCCACTAGGAGCCCACTAGGAACCCACTAGGAGACCACTAGGAGCCCACTAGGAGCCCACTAGGAGCCCACTAGGAACCCACTAGGAGCCTACTAGGAGCCCAATAGGAACCCACTAGGAGCCCACTAGGAACCCACTAGGAGCCCACTAGGAGCCCACTAGGAACCCACTAGGAGCCCACTAGGAACCCACTAGGAGCCCACTAGGAGCCCACTAGGAACCCACTAGGAGCCCACTAGGAACCCACTAGGAGCCCACTAGGAGCCCACTAGGAACCCACTAGGAGCCCACTAGGAACCCACAAGGAGCCCACTAGGAGCCCACTAGGAACCCACTAGGAACCCACTAGGAGCCCACTAGGAACCCACTAGGAGCCCACTAGGAGCCCACTAGGAGCCCACTAGGAGCCCACTAGGAGCCCACTAGGAACCCACTAGGAGCCTACTAGGAGCCCAATAAGAACCCACTAGGAACCCACTAGGAGCCCACTAGGAGCCCACTAGGAGTCCACTAGGAATCCACTAGGAGCCCACTAGGAGTCCACTAGGAATCCACTAGGAACCCACTAGGAACCCACTAGGAGCCTACTAGGAGCCCAATTGGAACCCACTAGGAGCCCACTAGGAACCCACTAGGAGCCCACTAGGAGTCCACTAGGAATCCACTAGGAGCCCACTAGGAACCCACTAGGAGCCCACTAGGAGTCCACTAGGAATCCACTAGGAACCCACTAGGAGCCCACTAGGAGCCCACTAGGAACCCACTAGGAGCCCACTAGGAACCCACTAGGAGCCCACTAGGAGCCCACTAGGAACCCACTAGGAACCCACTAGGAACCCACTAGGAGCCCACTAGGAGCCCACTAGGAACCCACTAGGAGCCCACTAGGAACCCACTAGGAGCCTGTGAGGAGCCCACTAGGAACCCACTAGGAGCCCGCTAGGAGCCCACTAGGAACCCACTAGGAGCCCACTAGGAACCCACTAGGAGCCCACTAAGAACCCACTAGGAGCCCACTAGGAGCCCACTAGGAACCCACTAGGAGCCCGCTAGGAACCCACTAGGAACCCACTAGGAGCCCACTAGGAGCCCACTAGGAACCCACTAGGAGCCCACTAGGAGCCCACTAGGAGCCCACTAGGAGCCCACTAGGAGCCCACTAGGAACCCACTAGGAACCCACTAGGAACCCACTAGGAACCCACTAGGAGCCCACTAGGAACCCACTAGGAGCCCACTAGGAGCCCACTTGGAGCTCACTAGGAGCCCACTAGGAACCCACTAGGAGCCCACTAGGAGCCCACTAGGAATCCACTAGGAACCCACTAGGAGCCCACTAGGAACCCACTAGGAACCCACTAGGAGCCCACTAGGAGCCCACTAGGAGCCCACTTGGAGCTCACTAGGAGCCCACTAGGAACCCACTAGGAGCCCACTAGGAGCCCACTAGGAATCCACTAGGAACCCACTAGGAGCCCACTAGGAACCCACTAGGAACCCACTAGGAGCCCACTAGGAGCCCACTAGGAACCCACTAGGAGCCCACTAGGAGCCCACTAGGAACCCACTAGGAACCCACTAGGAGCCCACTAGGAACCCACTAGGAACCCACTAGGAGCCCACTAAGAACCACTAGGAACCCACTAGGAGCCCACTAAGAACCCACTAGGAACCCACTAGGAACCCACTAGGAACCCACTAGGAGCCCACTAGGAGCCCACTAGGAACCCACTAGGAGCCCACTAGGAGACCACTAGGAACCCACTAGGAACCCACTAGGAACCCACTAGGAACCCACTAGGAACCCACTAGAAGCCCACTAAGAACCCACTAGGAACCCACTAGGAACCCACTAGGAACCCACTAGGAGCCCACTAGGAGCCCACTAAGAACCCACTAGGAGCCCACTAGGAGACCACTAGGAACCCACTAGGAACCCACTAGGAGCCCACTAGGAACCCACTAGGAGCCCACTAGGAGCCCACTAGGAACCCACTAGGAGCCCACTAGGAGCTCACTAGGAACCCACTAGGAACCCACTAGGAGCCCACTAGGAGCTCACTAGGAGCCCACTAGGAACCCACTAGGAGCCCACTAGGAGCTCACTAGGAACCCACTAGGAGCCCACTTGGAGCTCACTAGGAGCCCACTAGGAACCCACTAGGAGCCCACTAGGAGCTCACTAGGAACCCACTAGGAGCCCACTAGGAGCCCACTAGGAGCTCAATAGGAACCCACTAGGAACCCACTAGGAGCCCACTAGGAACCCACTAGGAACCCACTAGGAACCCACTAGGAGCCCACTAGGAACCCACTAGGAGCCCACTAGGAACCCACTAGGAGCCCACTAGGAACCCACTAGGAGCCCACTAGGAGCCCACTAGGACCCCACTAGGAACCCACTAGGAGCCCACTAGGAGCCCACTAGGAGCCCACTAGGAACCCACTAGGAGCCCACTAGGAACCCACTCGGAGCCCACTAGGAGCCCACTAGAAGCCCACTAGGAGCCTGCTAGGAACCCACTAGGAGCCCACTAGGAACCCACTAGGAGCCTGTGAGGAGCCCACTAGGAGCCCGCTAGGAACCCACTAGGAGCCCACTAGGAGCCCACTAGGAACCCACTAGGAGCCCGCTAGGAACCCACTAGGAGCCCACTAGGAGCCCGCTAGGAACCCACTAGGAGCCCACTAGGAGCCCGCTAGGAACCCACTACGAGCCCACTAGGAGCCCACTAGGAGCCCACTAGGAGCCCGCTAGGAACCCACTAGGAGCCCACTAGGAGCCCGCTAGGAACCCACTAGGAACCCACTAGGAACCCACTAGGAGCCCACTAGGAGCCCGCTAGGAACCCACTAGGAGCCCACTAGGAGCCCACTAGGAACCCACTAGGAGCCTGCTAGGAACCCACTAGGAACCCACTAGGAGCCCACTTGGAGCCCACTAGGAGCCCACTAGGAGCCCACTAGGAGCCCACTAGGAACCCACTAGGAGCCCACTTGGAGCCCACTAGGAGCCTGTGAGGAGCCCACTAGGTACCCACTAGGAGGCCACTAGGAGCCCACTAGGAACCCACTAGGAGCCCACTAGGAACCCACTAGGAGCCCACTAGGAGCCCACTAGGAACCCACTAGGAGCCTGTTAGGAGCTTGCTCAGAGCCTGTGAGGAGCCCACTAGGAACCCACTAGGAGGCCACTAGGAGCCCACTAGGAACCCACTAGGAGCCCACTAGGAACCCACTAGGAGGCCACTAGGAGCCCACTAGGAACCCACTAGGAGCCCACTAGGAGCCCACTAGGAACCCACTAGGAGCCCACTTGGAGCCCACTAGGAGCCTGTTAGGAGCTTGCTCAGAGCCCGGCCGGACCCCGGTGGTGGCAAGCGCTCACCGGCCAGTTCTTCCATGGTGGACGCTGTCGCGTCAAGCACGACGATGCCGCGCTCCAGGCACCGGCGCAGCTCGAAGAGGCTGTGCAGTGACAGCGTCGCCACGAAGGGCTTGCTCCAGCGCTCGCCACCATCCTCCACGTCCTCTTCGAACTTCAGCCACCTACATCGCCGTCGCCATCATCACCCGTTAACAATTCGCTGTATGTTGAACTTCTTTCGCATGGTACGTAGCCAACCGTGCAAATCAAAGATGCGGGGGAAGGACAATGAACTAAACACAACAAAATGCAGTTATAAAGAATGAGTTTTCAACCTAGATGATTTAAAAGTGCACAGCTCCAGTAGCTTCCTAATACTAGTAGGAACCTCCTGGTAACACCAGCCCACAGGGGATTATTGCGTCCGTCCGTCGTGCAGGGAGGGGCTGGGTGGGGTGGGAGGGGCTCGGTGGGGAGGGGAGGGTGGGGAGGGGCTGGGTGGGGAGGGTGGGGTTGGGTGGGGAGGGGAGGAGCTGGGTGGGGAAGGTGGGGAGGGGAGGGTGGGGAGGGGCTGGGTGGGGAGGGTGGGGCTGGGTGGGGGGTGGGAGGGGTGGGGCTGGGTGGGGAGGGGCTGGTCACCCCGTGGTGCCCTTATAAAACTCAACATTTAACCTACTCACGCCGGCAGGTGCCCGCCCTCACAGTTAGCCATATTTACGGAATACACCACGCCGCCGTTGACCCTGGACATTGACCGAGCAACCCAACGTCCCTACCAGCTCCCTCCGCAGGAATGTGTCAACGGAAGGAAGAGCATCCCAGACGGCCGCAGAAGCACGTCTGAACGGGCACAGTGCAGTGACCGTCTTTGTTCGACGGCCAGCCAAAAGCCGCTGCTGCTGTGAGGATGACTGCAGTTCAGGTGATGATGGTTTACACTCCATGCTTCATTTGTGGCAAGCACTTTGGGTGCAATGAGCGCAACCTCAGTCACCCAGTCCCATCACAGCCCCCTTTCACCCAGTCCCATCACAGCCTCCTGTCACCCAGTCCCATCACAGCCTCACGTCACCCAGTCCCATCACAGCCTCTTGTCACCCAGTCCCATCACAGTCCCCTGTCACCCAGTCCCATCACAGCCTCCTGTCACCCAGTCCCATCACAGCCTCACGTCACCCAGTCCCATCACAGCCTCTTGTCACCCAGTCCCATCACAGTCCCCTGTCACCCAGTCCCATCACAGCCTCCTGTCACCCAGTCCCATCACAGCCTCCTGTCACCCAGTCCCATCACAGTCCCCTGTCACCCAGTCCCATCACAGTCCCCTGTCACCCAGTCCCATCACAGTCCCTGTCACCCAGTCCCATCACAGTCCCTGTCACCCAGTCCCATCACAGCCTCCTGTCACCCAGTCCCATCACAGTCCCTGTCACCCAGTCCCATCACAGCCTCCTGTCACCCAGTCCCATCACAGTCCCCTGTCACCCAGTCCCATCACAGTCCCCTGTCACCCAGTCCCATCACAGTCCCCTGTCACCCAGTCCCATCACAGCCTCCTGTCACCCAGTCCCATCACAGCCTCCTGTCACCCAGTCCCATCACAGTCCCCTGTCACCCAGTCCCATCACAGTCCCCTGTCACCCATTCCCATCACAGTCCCCTGTCACCCAGTCCCATCACAGTCCCTGTCACCCAGTCCCATCACAGCCTCCTGTCACCCAGTCCCATCACAGTCCCCTGTCACCCAGTCCCATCACAGTCCCCTGTCACCCAGTCCCATCACAGTCTCTTGCATCACACATCCACGATCCACGCCATGCTTCACCAGTTCCAAGGGAAGTAGTTCAACCCTCGCCTGAGTCCCCTACCTGGCGGTCTCCTGCCACTCGCCCTCGTGTCCCTCCTTACAGCTCAGCTCCAGCATCTCGATGAAGAGGTCATGATGCTGCTGCTCCTCCTCCTTCTGCTGCTCCTCATCCTCCTCATCCTCCACGCCCAGGATGAAGTGCACCCTCTGCGACGGCACATCTTCACGAAGGAAGAACGCAGCCCCACACACGACAATGCGAGGCGTGACGACGGCAGACAGAGCTGCAGTGGCTAGGAGATTTTAACTACCTCGCCTGGTATGCAGGAGGTCATTCGTGGGTTCGGTCCCGACCCTGACGAGCGCTGGAGTTTTGCGAGCCTCTCTCTGTCGCGTGGATTTTTCTCTGGCCCCTCCAGTTTTTCCCCTCCAAATTTAGAATCAACATGCATACTGTCGTTTTGCTGCCTTGTGTTACATTTTTAGTGATTTGCTTTCCTGTCGTTTTTTATTGTTTACGGTTGTAACTTTCTGGCCCGGTGCCCCTACAAAGAGCTTCATAGCTCATCGGATTCCTCCCAGAAAAAAAAGGTCCAATTCTGATTCGCTCACTCACTTACTCACCATGCGCGTTCCGCTTCTCCCGCTGTGACGACGAGGAGGTGGACGACGACGACGACGACAACGAGGGCGCGGAGGACGAGGAAGGCGCGGAGGAGGAGGGCACGGAGGAGGGCCAGGGCTTCCTCACCCACGGCCGTGCTGCTTCGTGGCCCGCGGCAGTCGGATGTCTTCCCTGCGCGCCACACAACGCGACGTGGATGCCGTGGCAAAAAAAAATGCAATCGGAGTGTCCCGGGACCAATTTATGATTACATACATTTTTATTTGTACCAGATAAGAAAGGCCCATTGAGATATTAGCTCTCTTTTTCAGAAGCGAGCCGGCCACAAATGAATGTTGAACTTCTTACGCACCATACGTAACACAATCAGAGATGGACAACAAACTGACCAGACAAAATGCCAGTGGCTTCCGCATAAATGGTAGCTCAACAAAGTGGCTTATCACGTGGACATAATCTGAACGCACGTCGATTCTAAATGTGGAGGGGAAAACCCGGAGGACCCGAAGAAAAATCCACGCGACCACGGGAAGAACATGCAAACTCCAAATATACAGCAGCAGGCGTCAGGATCGGACCCACGACCTCCTGCATAACAGGCGAGGGAGGTAACATAACACACATTGTTTGCCGCATTTCACACAGGTTTCAGGACACTTATATAACAATAATCATCATTTATTTTTAGCCACAAATTATTCAGTCGTCATGCGTGGGCGCTATCACGTGTCAGCGAATGTTCCGATTTCTTTACGGTCCGTTCAAGCGTTTGGTAAAAGCAGAGCTGCCTGAGAAGACTGTAATTTAATTTCGATGACAACTGCTTTCTCTCAAGTGAATGGCCCTTCTGGTTACGTGGCCTGGCCCAGGCAACAAACCGTTGGAGTAATCGATGCTTTGTCTTTGAAAAGCAGGTGATCAATTTTAGGCAACTGGGCATATCACGAGGCTACAAGGCACACGCGATCACTGAGGCTCTCAGTTCAAATCCAGGTTTCAGACACCCAAGATTAGCCGGGTAGTGGTGGCGGTGGTGGCCACGCTACTGCATCACGTGACTGCTGCCTGTAGCGCAGGGATGTTTGGAGGCAGCAGCGAGGGGGTTGGTGAATCACCGCACACACACACATGTTGCGAGACTCCCTTCACCTTGGGCGTCGAGGAGGAGCCGTATCCTGGCCGTGCCGGGAGACGGCGGTACAGCAGCAATGTGGACTCGGCATGTTCCGTCTGTATGAGATAGAGGATTTCCCCTTCGCACGTGCACGTGGGTTTTCTCCAGGGGCTCAGGTTTACAGTGGGCGCCACGGTGGTGGGATGTTAACTCCCTCGCCTGGTATGCAGGAGTTCGTGGGTTCGATCCCGACCCAGATGCCTGTATATTTGGAGTTTGCGTGTTCCTCTCTCTCCCCGTGGTCACGTAAATTTTTCTCCGGTTTTTTCTCTCCACATTTGGAATCAACATCACGAGTTTAAAGTATTGGCTGCTGTACATTTCCACGTGACAAGCCACTTCGTGTCCATGTCGCTTCTGAAATAGAGTTACATAGCTCAGTGGGCCTTTCCTGGTAACATTTAAAATAGGTTAGGAATAAGTTCGGTTACTCCCACGTGTAAACGCTCATTGAATTGGTCCATAACAATTTAACATATAGAGGACCCCAGAGCTGCCTCTCTGCTTTGCGTGCGGTTCCACCTCACACCTCCGAGTCGCCGTCTCCCTCTCTCTGTTTTCAACTTGCGAATATTGCAAGTTGAAGTTATCGTAGACGGTTTCTATCGAGCAGCTTCTCAATCAGGAGTGGGGGGAGCTGGTGGTCTCAGACCAGTTGCCGATTGCCTGCACAAACGTCGGATTAGATTTGCCTCTGACTTGGTTTGGCTGTTCCCAGCTGCAGGGTTGTGCAGACTAATAAGGGCCATTTATGTAATTACGGGGGGGAAAAAACTCTTTCGTAACAACGATATTAAATCTCATTGAGAATTCTGTTAAGAGGGGACTATTATTATATTGATGCTAACACGCCTCGACGAGCCTCGAGACCCTTTACCATGAGGGTCCCTAACAAGTTTATTTTTTATAGTTGGGGGCGATGTTGCTGCTTCATTGTGTAATCCCAGTCGAGTAATTTGCACAAATATCATTTTCAGCACTAGGACGTTTCGACCAATGCTAGCTCCGTCATGTGTTTGTTTCAGCAATGTTGGGGGGGCAAAGCAACAGAAAACCCGGAGGAAACGCATGCATGATGAGAGGGGGAGGGGAGGGAAATACAGACTCCAGACAGAAACCTATCCCCATTCGAGATTCGAACCCAGGCTCCGTTCTTGTCGTGAAGAGCCCCGTCGACCGCTCTGCCACTCGGCGTGTCGCTGTGCCCGCTTCTAACGCGATGTTCAAGCACTCCGTCTCCATCACCCAGCGCAATAATCGTCGCGGCCATTCACCCTTTCCCGTTCCGATGACGTAAGCGTACGCGCGTGGACGTTGTCAGAACGGAAACGGAAGAAAAAACCTCAAATGAAGTCACTTTGTCGGTACCGAGGCTCTCACAAGGCCATGCGGGAGGGTGTGTGACGCAGTTTGGCGCCAGCTATCGTAGAGTGGCGGCGGTCGTGTCGCTACGGTTCTCTGCGGCGAGTAACGTCTTTACAAAGCAACGGCGCTGCTACTTCTCCCCCCCCCCCTCTCTAAATAAAATCAACACCGAACCGGTTTGCACGTTCCAAGATTCGGTAGTGAACGTGACACACGCACACACCCCTGCAACTTGCAGTGCGTCTCGTGTCAGGAAAGGGGTTAAGATCCCACGGGTATAAGCCACGACTCGCCCAACCCGCGCGCCCTTCCACCTTCCACGCCATCCAACTTCAAATTCGTCCCCACAATATTCCCGGGGCATGACGTGTGATGCGTTTGTCACCGAGTGCCGTTTCATTCGAGGCTCTCACAATTGCCACCTCTGTTGCGCGTGCCAGGGGGAGGGGGGAATTGTGCCTCCCCCCTCCCCGTGATATTGTGCCCCAGCAGCCTGAAGCTCGGGCCCCCTGTCCGTCACGCACTCGGTGTAATAAGGCAACGGCGAGCCGCCTGCTGCTGCTGCTGCTACGTCCTTTAGCTGATCTTCAAACATCAACACGAGCCACCGGAACATCCATTAGCGGGAACGTAATGAATGCAGTCATGTGTTCAGCAGCAATTGTTTTTTTCTCTCTCTCTCTCTAATGTTAATTAAATATCGTTTCTGAGAAAAATCCCAAGATCCTGAATCATGTGCATTCAATTAGTTTCATTATGGGGCAGTTTTTTTGTTGTTGTTGATAGGGTCACCGTATTTAATGATTGGCTGACGACACATGGTTGATTATGATGACCAACGAACGTGAAACGGTGGAAGGAATCGGCAAAAAAATTCATCTCGGGATAAATATCGGCGATGTGACAGCGATGTACGTGCGGCCAGTGTGCTGAAACAAAAACCCACAATATTGGAGCGACGCAACACTCATTACACGCAAAGTGCTCATCACGAATGAACCTCGATGCCTTGGACGATCTCGTCAAGGAGCATAAACCACCATCACGCAAATTCCGCTCATCCTCGCAGCCAATATTGGCTGACCGTCGAACAATGACGGCCACCGCGTCGCGCGCGTCCAGATGCTCTTCTGCGTCAGTCTGGAACGCTCTTCCATCCGTTATTAGGAAGCCACCGGTGCAATGCAATTCTAAATCATCCACATTGAACACGAATTTCTTTAGAAGTGCTTGCTGATGTGTTTAGTTTGTTGTCCATCTCCCGCACCCACGAGTAGCGCGGTGGGTCACGTACGGTGTGAAGGAAGTGCAGCCTTAACAGACTGCTGGGGCAAGTGCTGTTAGCGAGCGGCACCTGTGAAGGTCGGCACGGCGCACTAAGGCGTGGGCGGCGAGCGCCACGCCCAGCCGCCTTTGTCTTCCCAGTGCTGATGTTTTACACACCACACCAGGTACTCAGACTTTATAGGCATACAAAGGAACATGTCATCGGTGCACGCAGAGACTCTCCCTTCCGATAGCACGAGCCACCTTTGGTTAGGTTTGGGGTTATATTTGTTGTGTGGGTGTAATGTCAATCACAGCTATGCAGAATCTTTACCTGGTCAAAAATAATAAACTTTGTATTTGACCAGGTAAGGCCCACTGAGCTATACAGCTTTTTTTTCAAAAGCGACCTGGCCACAAATGATAGCTCAACGAAGTGGCTCATCATCATGTGGGAATTTATAGCAGCCAAATATACTCCCAATGCGTGATGTCGATTCTAAATGTGGAGGGAAAAACTGGAGGACCCGGAGAAAAATCCACGCGACCATGGGGAGAATCAGAGTGGTCACGTAGGCAAATGCTGAAACACAGAAAAAGAGAATCAATTGTGGCAAATTTGCCCACGTGACAACTCGATCCGTATGGCTCTCGTCGGGTGGTGGAGGGTTCTGCATAGAACTTGACTGACTTGATAGTAAAACGATCTAAGCCAACATAAAACTACTTTGAATGAATCCGTGCACATTCACCTGCTATGACATATCAGTCAGAAACATTCTCGTTGTGAAGTTTTCGTGACTGCAAGAATCCATATTTTTTACCGAAAGAACCAAGTCAGAAACATGCCCGTTCTTCTTATTTCGTACGGGCTGCTGATGTAGACGCAGAGCATCGACTACAGTTTCACATTCACGCGGTTAAGCACAGACAACCGCTTCATCAGCGGCGTATTTGTGGATCGTGGCATTGCGTCGTTACACATCGTACGGTCCTGTGCTGGATGACCGCGGTCGCACCGCGACTGGCGACTTGAACACGACCGGTGACGCACAACATTGAACAGCGGCTCAACGTCTACAAAGACGAGGAAGCGTGGCATAGATGGGCGCTGGGAATTATTGCTGAGAGACGGAGACAGAGAGGGGGCGACGCCGGTCAGAGGAACAACGGCAGGGCGAGAAAGAGAGAAGAGAGAGACACACAACCAAGCTGACTGCTGAGGAGTGCGCGGGGGCTTTGAGCGGCCACGACACGGAGATGATGATGATGATGGGCCGACGGTCAGATGAGGAGGCAGCACACGCCAGGGGAGAGGGTCCACTGAGGGAGATGGAGCGATGTGATCGGCTCTCTCGCGTACGAG